TATCTATTTCCAGGTTGCTCTCCAGAAATGATTAGGGCCAACATACAACCCCTTCAAAAATGAGACTGCCCGGGGTGCCTGGGTGGCTCAATCAGTTATGCGTCTGACTCTTGATATCAGCTCAGGTCATGGTCATGGTTCATGGGATGGAGCCCTGTGTCAGGCTCTGCACTGACAGTGTAGAGCCTGCTTGGGATTCTCTCTTTCACCCTTTCTCTACCACTTGCCCACGCTTGTGCTCTCTCTCTCTCTCAAAATAAATAAATAAACATTAAAAAAAATGAGACTACTCATTGAATGATGTCATTTTATTTTATGTTAAGATTTTATTATTTTTGAAGTAAACTCTACACACAATGTGGGCTCAAACCCCCAACCCTGAGATAAAGAGTCACATGCCTTACCAATTGAGCCAGCCAGGTGCCCCTGAATGATGTCATTTAAAAAATATTCTCCAATGGTTTAGGTTAAGAGGTAACAGCTCATTTTTTTTCTTTGCATCCTTTGATTATATTAGAGGTTAAATATATTTTTATTTTTTCAGTTTTTACTTCTATGAATTATGTGTTTTGTGTCCTTTTCTCATGTTCCTATTGAGGTGTTTATTTGCTCTTATTGATTTGTAAGTTCGCTTTTTAGGAAAGAACTCAATTTTCTTCTTTCCTACTATGAAAAACCCAGGTCTTCCCTACTATGTTTTTCTCTTGTGTGTCTCCTTTACTTTCACACGGCATTCCATTTCTGACACCAAGTGTGTGGCGATTTTACCCCCACACCAAACAGTTCTCCACAACACCAGCTGGGTGTCCTACAGTTTAACTCAATTCTGACACATCTACCAGGAGATAGAGTCAGATCCCAGGTTAAGGGCTAAGTCCCACAAGACTATATCCCTCCACACACTTCAGATGTCATTCCTAGAAGTGGGTCTGGAGGTTACCCACAACTTCTGTTTGGCTATGAATCAGAGGTTCTCACAACTCCCTCCTCAGGTTTAATTAATTTGCTAGAGTGGCTCACAGATCTGAGGGAAACACACATTTACCAGTTTATTAAAGGATATGGTAAAGGATACAGAATAACAGCCAGATGAAGAAAACATAGATTGAGGTCTGGGAGGTCCCGAGTACAGGACCTTCTGTCTAGGTGGAGTTGGGGTGCATCACCCTTCTGTTGTGAATGTGTTGGTCCATCTGGAAGCTCTCTGAACTCCTCACTACTGGGATTTTATGGAGAATTCCTCACATAGGCATGATTAATCATTAACTTCATTTTCAGCCTTTCTCCCTTTTTTTTTTTTTTTTAGAGATGGAAGTAGAAAATTTTTTTTTTTATATATGAAATTTATTGTCAAATTGGTTTCCATACAACACCCAGTGCTCATCCCAAAAGGTGCCCTCCTCAATACCCATCACCCACCCTCTCCTCCCTCCCACCCCCCATCAACCCTTAGTTTGTTCTCAGTTCTCAACAGTCTCTGATGCTTTGGCTCTCTCCCACTCTAACCTCTTTTTTTTTTTTTTTTTTATTCCCCTCCCCCATGGGTTCCTGTTAAGTTTCTCAGGATCCACCTAAGAGTGAAACCATATGGTATCTGTCTTTCTCTGTATGGCTTATTTCACTTAGCATCACACTCTCCAGTTCCATCCACGTTGCTACAAAAGGCCATATTTCATTCTTTCTCATTGCCACATAGTATTCCATTGTGTATATAACCACAATTTCTTTATCCATTCATCAGTTGATGGACATTTAGGCTCTTTCCATAATTTGGCTATTGTTGAGAGTGCTGCTATGAACATTGGGGTACAAGTGCCCCTATGCATCAGTACTCCTGTGTCCCTTGGATAAATTCCTAGCAGTGCTATTGGTGGGTCATAGGGTAGGTCTATTTTTAATTTCCTGAGGAACCTCCACACTGCTTTCCAGAGCGGCTGCACCAATTTGCATTCCCACCAACAGTGCAAGAGGGTTCCCGTTTCTCCACATCCTCTCCAACATCTATAGTCTCCTGATTTGTTCATTTTGGCCACTCTGACTGGCGTGAGGTGATACCTGAGTGTGGTTTTGATTTGTATTTCCCTGATAAGGAGCGACGCTGAACATCTTTTCATGTGCCTGTTGGCCATCTGGATGTCTTCTTTAGAGCAGTGTCTATTCATGTTTTCTGCCCATTTCTTCACTGGGTTATTTGCTTTTTGGGTGTGGAGTTTGGTGAGCTCTTTATAGATTTTGGATACTAGCCCTTTGTCCGATATGTCATTTGCAAATATCTTTTCCCATTCCGTTGGTTGCCTTTTAGTTTTGTTGGTTGTTTCCTTTGCTGTGCAGAAGCTTTTTATCTTCATAAGGTCCCAGTAATTCACTTTTGCTTTTAATTCCCTTGCCTTTGGGATGTGTTGAGTAAGAGATTGCTACGGCTGAGGTCAGAGAGGTCTTTTCCTGCTTTCTCCTCTAAGGTTTTGATGGTTTCCTGTCTCACATTCAGGTCCTTTATCCATTTTGAGTTTATTTTTGTGAATGGTGTGAGAAAGTGGTCTAGTTTCAACCTTCTGCATGTTGCTGTCCAGTTCTCCCAGCACCATTTGTTAAAGAGACTGTCTTTTTTCCATTGGATGTTCTTTCCTGCTTTGTCAAAGATGAGTTGGCCATACGTTTGTGGGTCTAGTTCTGGGGTTTCTATTCTATTCCATTGGTCTATGTGTCTGTTTTTGTGCCAATACCATGCTGTCTTGATGATGACAGCTTTGTAGTAGAGGCTAAAGTCTGGGATTGGGATGCCTCCTGCTTTGGTCTTCTTCTTCAAAAGTACTTTGGCTATTCGGGGCCTTTTGTGGTTCCATATGAATTTTAGGATTGCTTGTTCTAGTTTCGAGAAGAATGCTGGTGCAATTTTGATTGGGATTGCATTGAATGTGTAGATAGCTTTGGGTAGTATTGACATTTTGACAATATTTATTCTTCCAATCCATGAGCAGGGAATGTCTTTCCATTTCTTTAAATCTTCTTCAATTACCTTCATAAGCTTTCTATAGTTTTCAGCATACAGATCCTTTACATCTTTGGTTAGATTTATTCCTAGGTATTTTATGCTTCTTGGTGCAATTGTGAATGGGATCAGTTTCTTTATTTGTCTTTCTCTTGCTTCATTGTTAGTGTATAAGAATGCTACTGATTTCTGTACATTGATTTTGTATCCTGCAACTTTGCTGAATTCATGTATCAGTTCTAACAGACTTTTGGTGGAGTCTATCGGATTTTCCATGTATAATATCATGTCATCTGCAAAAAGCGAAAGCTTGACTTCATCTTTGCCAATTTTGATGCCTTTGATTTCCTTTTGTTGTCTGATTGCTGATGCTAGAACTTCCAGCACTATGTTAAGCAATAGCGGTGAGAGTGGGCATCCCTGTGTGTTCCTGATCTCAGGGAAAAAGCTCTCAGTTTTTCCCCGTTGAGGATGATGTTAGCTGTGGGCTTTTCATAAATGGCGTTTATGATCTTTAAGTATGTTCCTTCT